AAAAGGAGTTTAAATATACTGAAATATTTAGTAAATTATTTTCGAGTTATATTAATTTATGTAATTATATTTGGTAGATAAATAACCAAATATTTATATAAAATTTATGTTAAATAATATCTTATCAAAAATATATAAATGTATAAAGAAAAAAATACACAACACAAGTTTAAAATAATTATAATTTACATATTTTACATATGCATATATAAACGTGTAATATTTCAAAATTTACTAATTATAATAAATCAAAAATTTTCAAATCATAAATTATATTGAAAACTATGCGAGTTTAGCAAAAATACTATTCCGAGAATAATCAATGCAATTATAAGAAAAAAATGATATTTATTATCTATATAGTTCCTAAGAGAATTTTTATAAGCGTTCGTACATTTCAAAAAAAAAATAGAAATAATATTATTCATCAAATGAATTTTAGATATATTGAAAGTACCATGCAGACATTATTAAAGTAAACGGAAATTTCAGCATGTAATTGCAAAAATGTTTTAAAAATTCTAAATTTTAAAATTTGCAATTAAGAATAATATTTAAAAAACAAAACAAAGTTAACATTTATTTTATGATGGTTATTATGATCTTTAGTCTGAACCATTAAAAATATATTAATATATATATATATATATATATTTATTAACACATAGTGAAAATTGCTAACATATATGAGAAAATACATATAAATATCGAATAATATAAATAAAAATTATTAAACCTTAAGAAAAATTTATTCCTAATAAATTTCCAAATAATTGATATTGTAAGAATCAATAAATAATATGAGTTGAATCATGTTTTAAAGAATTGTTTTGTATAAATTGAAAATTAAAGTATACTGGTGCGTTTTTTAACATTTTCACGCAAATTATTTAAAATTATTTTTATGCGTATGATCAAACTAGTCCGATATTTATAAATTTATAACTAATAGTTGTCTGCCTATAGGCAGGTCCATGGTATGAGAAGCACCGCAAAACGATCAATGGTTTGCTTGAAGCAATGAGCTGATTAAAAAATATATATTGAAGTATTTCTGTACTATAAGTAAACTAAAATGAATAAAATGACTATAAACCCACAATTATCCGGATATTAATTGCTGTATGTTAACTTGTTTTTACTTAAGTTAATTATACTAATTTTATATATCAACATGATTTATATATCCGAATGAATAACCAAGTGAGCCAAGTGTAATTAACATATTGCGAAAGAAGATTTAATTTTAAATATGCGATTACGATCAAAATTTTTCGAAATTTATTCATTAAAAATAATAAATTGTTTATATAGTACCATAAAGATAATTGTTTTATTATTGACGCAAAAATAGATGATTTCTTTGAGCATGGAAATTGGATGTGAAAATAATCATTCAAATTTTCTTTTCTAATAAAATAAAAAAAAATTATCTATGCACATAATGTATTTAGCTAGAATAATTTTAACAAAATTACATTACTTAATTTTTTAATTCAGCAAATGGAAAAGGATTTTACTGTGGAGGTGTCCTTATAAGCGATCGATATGTCCTGACAGCCGCACATTGCGTTAATGGAAAGGATATACCATCAACATGGAGATTGTGAGTAAACAAATTAATGAAATATTTAATAGATATTAAATACTATATATAAACACAAAATTGTTTATTAATAAATTAAGTTTAAAGTCGCGAATGAAACCCATAAAAATGGTTCTAAATTATTTAATTATTTTTTAAAATGATTCATATAATGGGCAATAATAATATAATATTTTGCTATGTACAAAATGAATGTCTTTCAAATTTTCATACTATAATTTGCTTTGCCCAAACAAACTCACCGTCACAAGAGCTCGAAACTTCGATAACTTTTGATAAAAACTTACATAAAAAAAGTTTTAGGGGAAAGTCCCTTAGTGGCAAACACCTAAGGTTATTTATAAATAAATTATTGATATTTAGGTACCTGTGTGCTCCCCAGGATCCTTTCACTTGTAATTTGAAATGAAAAGATTTATACTCGCTTAAATAATACGTGTTAAATACAGTGTCCGGTGCTTGGGGCCGTCCGGCGTTACAAGACTTCTCCCTACCTTAAAAATTAATTAAAGCAATATTTAGGATTGGTGAAGCATGAAGGAAGGACTAACAATACCATAACATCGAAAGTATACCGATTTGGGAAAGGGTCCAAAGGGCGAAAGACGTAGTATGTTTGCTTGATCATGTTTCTATTTACTGTTTAGTCTGTGCCCTGCCTTAACATGATTTGTAAACCTTCATTGTTTTTAAAGAGTCAAAAAAATTTTTTTGAATAATAACTTATACGTGTATACAGATATATAATATCACTTTGTTGCTTTGCTATAAATTGAATAATAGATTTGTCTTTAAAAGAATGGATTTGGGTACGGTTGTGACATGTGGTTGTGGGTCAAAATTTATTATAAAACAAACCATCATTTCTTAAAAGTTTTATATCTTAAATAATACCAAATAGTAACTCTCAAAAACACAAAATTTTTAAATCAAGTTTTACTTCAAAAAAATTTAGCTTTAAAATTTTTAAAAAACTCTAAAAATGGTGACAAACTTATTAATTAATTTAAGACGTTCACCTGACATCTAGCTATAATTGAATAAAACAAAAAGTGATCTAAGTGATCACAATCATCTTTTGTTTACACATTGGTAAAATATTCTTTGTTCCTCAAGCTTACTTAATTAAATAATTACCCAAGTTAAAGAATGTTTTAATCATTCATAAAATTAATATATAGTGTTACATCTATAAATTAATTGATTAGCTACGTTTTGAGGGGAAAGACGAAAAATAACGTAGGGAGAGAGAAATCTAGTCAAAATTAAATTTTTGAAATTTAAAAAAAAATACGTTTTTTGCGTTAATACATGTGATGTTTGGTGGGGGAAGCGGGATAATTTTAAATAATACGACGTATCACTAAGGTGAAGTGTTAAAAAATCAATAAAAACCGATCACGTGATTAGTGGAGACCCCCTTATTCTAGACAATAAATTTGTTAAAAAACTAGCTACTACCATATATTATTATACATAAGCATTAGAAAATAATCATGTCAAAAGGTAAATATTTTGATTCCTAGTATTTATTCTTTATAATACAAACATGTTTTTATGGTCAATAAGCGGCCAAAATCATAGTTATTATTAGTTATCATATATGTCAACATTTAGAGTGCAAATGGTTAAGTTTTGTTGTAAGGTTTTTAGGTCATTGTATGATATCAGTTAATTTTTTTTATTTCATTAGTAATCATCAAAACATAAATAATAACTATAAATTATTTTGATTTACATTAAATCTTTCAAAATGAATCTAAAATATTAAATAATGTTTTAAAATTTGTTAATTAAGCAATAGCAAATGATGACGGACTGACTTTTATTACATGCAAAAATTGATCTTCAGTATCACACTTTTCATTACTTTCGACATCTCAATCATTTTATCATGTGCTAAACAAGTTTTTAATAAAATGGAAAAATAAATTCATCATAATGAATGATAAAAAAATTTGAATATTGTTAAAATGGACGAAAAATAATGTTCGAGATACATAGAAGTTTTAAACAATAAATTTATTTAAAAAAATACCATTATATTTATATTTATATTTATATTTATATTTATACAACACAATTATACAATTATAGATATTAATGGTATAATAATGGTTGCATAGTATTTTAGAGATATTTAGCAATTTCAAACAATGAAGTTGTTAAAAAAAAATTATAAGTGTATTTTGTCTTTTTCTAGAACTGGGGTAAGATTAGGTGAATATAACACCGATACCGATATCGACTGCCTGGCCGACGGGCCACGAGGGACCCTCGAAAGCGCGATAGAAGCAGGTTATTGCGCCGATCCGCCCGTCGACTTAGCCATTGCTGATCGGACGGTTCACGAACTGTACAATCCAAACAGCCGAAATCAGCAGAACGATATTGCTTTACTGAGACTGGAGCGAAGTGTACAATTTACAGGTTTGATTATTTATTATTAAGGTTATAGGTACATGGCAAATTGCTAGAACTTCCCGTACAACAGTAATTGAATATTCGCGAAATAAAAATGATCATCATTAAAAATTTATCAATAAGTAATAGAAATTGTTTTACAAAATTTAAGGTAATTATTATAATAATAATTATCCTTATCTATTCTTATCTACACATAAATGAACAAAATATAATCATTTCTTCACAAGCAGTATGGTGATTGAAACAATCTAATAGGATGACCGGTACCATCAAAAGCTGCTATATGCCCTAAATGTCCGAACCGACTGACCCGGCTTTTGCAAAAATATGAACAATTCACTTAATCAATACGAATCAAATACTTTCAAATTCATTTTAATCGGATGTTTTTTAAAAACAGGTTTATCACACTGTGTTACTAACGATTTGTCACAATCTATAGTGCACATTAAAATAATTAACAATATATATTAAAAAGTTCAGAAAAAACTACGCCGTTCACTAAATAAGTAGCCAAGTCCATTTTACCTTACATTGATTTGATAAAAGCAAACATTAATTAATACTAAATAATATTAGATGCTAAAGTTATTAACAATAAAAAATAATTAACAATATATATTAAAAAGTTAAGAAAAAACTACAACGTTCACTAAATAAGTAACCAAGTCCATTTTACCTTACATTCATTTGATAAGAGCAAACATTAATAAATACTAAACAATATTAGATGCTAAAGTTATTAACAATAAAAAATAATTAACAATAAATATTGAAAAGTTAAGAAAAAACTACACCGTTCAATAATAAGTAACCAAGTCCATTTTACAATACATTGATTTAGTAAATGCAAAAATTAAATAAATATTAAATAATATTATATGCTAAAAATAATTAACAATTTATATTAAAAAGTTGAGAAAAAACTACACCGTTCAATAATAAGTAACCAAGTCCATTTTACACTACATTGATTTGATAAAAGCAAGCATTAATAAATACTAAATAATATTAGATGCTGAAGTTATTAATAATAAAAAATAATTAACAATATATATTAAAAAGTTAAGAAAAAATTACACCGTTCAATAATAAGTAACCAAGTCTATTTTTTACACTACATCGATTTGATAAATGAAAATATTAAATTAATATTAAATGATATTATATGCTAAAGATAATTAACAATTTATTTTAAAAAGTTGAGAAAAAAACTACACCGTTCACTAAATAAGTAGCCAAGTCCATTTTACACTACATTGATTTGGTAAAAGCAAACATTAATAAATACTAAATAATATAAGATGCTGAAGTTATTAACAATAAAAAATAATTAACAATATATATTAAAAAGTTAAAAAAAAACTACACCGTTCACTAAATAAGTAACCGAGTCCATTTTACACTACATTGATTTGGTAAAAGCAAACATTAATAAATACAAAATAATATTAGATGTTAAAGTTATTAAATATCATATTTAATTTTATTACATATAGATTTAACGCTATAATATACATATATTTTTCTAAATAAACGATGGAAAATAAAATATAATAATATTTAAAAAAAATAAAAATTGATACTTTCTTTTCAATTTTCAGAATCAAAAAAAGTCAAAATATATAATATTTTCAGTGCTAAAATATAAAAACTTAACTTGGAAAGTTTATATATATATATATATATATATATATATATATATATATATATAAATTGCTTCATACTAATTTGCGAAAACAAACACCAATCGCAGGCGAAACTGAAATAAAAGCCTTGCGATGGTTACTTAAAGAAAATTCTTATCAAAACCAAAATTGGACACAAACTAAGTCTTGAAAAATTGAGAACCTCGATATAAATTGAAGGCATAGGATTGATGATCTTATGTATATGGATCAGGTGTAATGAAGAGTGTTTCTGGAGTTCGTAAATATGGCAAAAAAGTGTGTGAAATTTTGCCTACCAAGACGAAACTGAAGAAAACGCTATGCGATAGCCAGTTGAAGCAAATTCTTATTAGAACAAAAATTGGACAACAATCAAGTCTTAAAAAATTGAGGAACTCGGTTTCCATTGAACGAAATCAGACAGCTACTCATAGAAACTTGGAGTTCGTAGAAAATCAAAATTGAGGACTTCGATATTAATTAAAAGTCATAGGATTGATCTTATGTATAAGTGTCAGGTGAAATGAAGAGTGTTTCTAGACCTTGATATCGAGGGCTGCTTATAGAAACTTGGAGTTTGTAAATATGGCAAAAAAGTGTGTGAATTTTTGCCCTCCAAGACGAAACTGAAGAAAACGCTATGCAATGATCAGTAGAATGAAAATTGGACAACAATCAAGTCTTGAAAAATTGAGCAACTCGGTTTCTATTGAACTGAATCAGACAGTTTCTCATAGAAACTTGGAGTTTGTAGATAATCAAAATAAAGGACCTCGATATTAATTAAAAGTCATAGGATTGATCTTATGTATATGGATCAGGTGAAATGAAGAGTGCTTTTAGCCATAATATAGATCGAGGGCTACTTGAAGTTCGTAAATATGGCACAAGAGTGTGTAAAATTTTGCCTACCAAGACGAAACTGAAAAAACGCCTTGCAAAGGTCAGTCGAAACAAATTCTTATTAGAATAAAAATGGGACAGCAATCAAGTTTTGAAAAATTGAGGAACACAGTTTCTATTGAAAGGAATTAGACAGCTACTCATAGAAACTTGGAGTTCGTAGAAAATTAAAATTAAGGACCTCAATATTAATTAAAAGGCATAGGATTGATCTTATGTATAAGGATCAGGTGAAATGAAGAGTGTTTCTAGACATAGATCGAGGGCTACTTATAGAAACTTGAAGTTTGTAAATATGGCAAAAGAGTGTGTAAAATTTTGCCTACCAAGACGAAACTAAAAAAACGCCTTGCAAAGGTCAGTGGAAGCAAATTCTTATTAGAATAAAAATGGGACAGCAATCAAGTCTTGAAATAATTGAGGAACACAGTTTCTATTGAAAAGAGCTACTCATAGAAACTTGGAGTTCGTAGAAAATTAAAATTGAGGACCTCAATATTAATTAAAAGGCATGGGATTAATCTTATGAATAAGAAATGAAGAGCGTTTCTAGACATAGATCGAGGGCTGCTTATAGAAACTTGGAGTTCGTAAATATGGCAAAAGAGTGTGTGAAATTTTGTCTACTAAGACGAAACTGAACGAAACGCCTTGCTATGGCCAGGTGAAGCAAATTCTTATTAGAACAAAAACTGGACTAAAATTAAGTCTTGAAAAATTGAGGAACACAGTTTCTATTGAAAGGAATTAGGCAGCTACTCATAGAAATTTGGAGTTCGTAGATATGGCAGAGGAGTGTATGAAATGCTTCCAAAATCGATACTGAATATCTAAGTCAATATTATATTAACTAAATTTCGAACAAAATAATTTCAAAAATCATTTAGGAGTATATTGGTTAATATACAGAAAATTGATAAATATGGGCAACTCATTGGAAAATTGGATTGAGAGACATTCATTCTCATTTTAAGTGAGCAATTATATATAAAATGGAAATTTTATATGTATTAAAATAATTCAATCCTGAATTTATATTTATATTTTTTTCTAAGAAGCAACAGTTCGTAAAATAAGAAGAATTAAAATTGAAGTTTGTTTATGCTTAAAGCAATCCAAAACTCTGCACTTGTTAGAATGAATTATACAAGAAATTAGATTACAATTTAACATATAATTCAAGTTCACTGAAAAAATATGTAAAATCAATTTCAATTATAATGTTTTTGGCATAAAATACATGAATAATCTTAAATATGAATTATTATATTAATATTGAATTTCGAATACTTGATGAATTTGTATGAATTTCGATATTCAAACCCAAATCTATATATATATATATATATATATATATATATATATATATATATATAAATTCATCGATAACCTCCAATGAAATGAGTGACTGATGTGAAAAATATAACATACATGAAAATAAATAATCATATGAATAGTTATAAAAAATTTTGTCCAGAAAATCTACTCAAAAAAAACATTAATATATAAAATTTGAAAATCTTGAAATCCTTCTAAGCTATAGTTTGAAAATATTACACAGCAATACTAATTAGTTCTTAGATTGTTACATTTTTAAAAATATTGAGCACAAAATTAAACCAAACTCCAAATATATAAAGCCTATAATAACAAATTCATTCAGTACACAAATTCAGTTAATAATATAAATAAAAGCACAGCAACTTTAGAACGCAAAATCTTATAAATAGATAAAGAATCATTATAATATTGATATTTGTGAATTATTATTATATATACATATATAAATTAATTAAAATATAATTTTAATGTTTCGAAAATACCTTATGAAAAATTGAAGTCAGAAGCAGTACTCATTATATAAAATAGTGAGAATTTACCAAATGAGTTACTAGTTACTGGTTATTAGTAAGTGAACCAGCTATGAGAAAATTTTGGAAAAATGATTAATTATAAATTCTCTTAGTCATTTCTATACATTTTTTTTACCAAATAATATTAATTTAATAAAATTAAATCAAAATGCATATGCAAGTTTTGCCGATGCTTCTGCCTTTCCTACATTAACTTTTAGTTGTATTTTAATATCATAATAGATTTATAAATAAGAAAATTATACTTCTATAAATACTATTTATTAATAAAAAATATTTTTATAAGAAATATTATATTATATTAAAATTTTTACGAGATCATAGACAACACGTTCGGAACAATAAAATCCACCAAAATAAAACAAGATGCCAAGAAGACTTTTGGAATAGATATTTCATAATGTAACAATTTTGCTTACACTTCAGTTAACGTCTAAAAAATATGGCATTTTCTGAGGAGTCTTAGTAAGTGAACTTGCCTATAACTATTACATAAATATTATGAACAAATTATCCAAAATAATTTATTCTAGTTGAAAAAACATACCAAAGCGGT